TAGTTGTCTGAACAGAAAGATGGGAATGGGAAGACAATTTTCCTGTATTCCTATGACCACCTAGATGTTTTTTGAGAAAGGCTTTGAGCACTCTTAATGTGATTCCCTAATATCAGGCAGGGTCACAGCGTTACAGCCGACAGCGCTGCCCTCCCATAGAGATTTATGTTTTGTAAACATGTCTCTGTAACTGTTGTAGTCATGCCTGCAGTGGCCAATACTTCTTGCTCTTACCTAGTTATAAATGAAATAGAGGGAACAGAACTACAATATTAGCAATGGACTAGTGGATTAACTAATAACTTCTTTTAAAAGTTTAAGAATCTTTTTTAATTTAGCATCTTTATACTTTCACAGACTTGAGAGGGACATACCCAGCCTTTCCAGTGCAGTCTTCAAAATAAACTCAGAGGGTTTTTAATGTGGAAAGAAAGGTGTACTATTGCTATTACTCCTAAACAAGCTTTTTGTGTGCTCGTTCTTGTGAACAAACATATTGATTTGACATTCCTCTCTGAAAAAATAATGACTAAAAAAAGGTTAATATATGAGTCGGTTGCAGGCATAAATAACGCAGCTGTGAAAGGTTGTTGCGTTTTAAGTTCTTTTCCAAAGATGCTTGCAGAGATCATAGAGGAAAAGATTTAAAAGACCCTCCTTTAAGACTAACTCAAGGAAAAGTCTAGTGACTAAAGTGTACCTGTTTCTGGGCAGGCTTTTTGGTAACGGTCATAGAAGAATTTTGTTGTATTTGCCTTTGTCCCTTGCAGAGAACTGGTAGTGGGAGTTACCACAGTGTCTCCTCACTCACTAGGCTTAGCCTAACTGACTTGGGAAGGAAGTGCTATTCCCTATCTCACTAAGCTGAGCCCTAGTAGTGTGAGAAGGAAGGATTTCTGGAGGTGTTGATTCTCCTGGTTATCACCACAACTCTCCTAATAGCCAAAGTTTAACTTGGGCAAGTCCTTTTACCTAGGTAAGATCTAGAACTTCGTGAGATTTTCAGCTGTGAGACTTTTTTAATGTATAAAAATGTATTTCTAATACTCTTGTGGCTTCAAAATGCAGCTTGCTGTTATGATCCAATACATTTTAAGCACTGAAAAACAGAATGCAAATAAACAGACTGTTTATTTTGACATTTTCTCTTTTGGATTGGCAATGTTGTTGACTACAAAGATACTTGAAAGATAAATGCCTCGCATGGTTACTTTGGCTGTTCTACTTACTTTACGTAATCAGTAGAAGATGAGAAAGCAGAAGCAGTGTGTGTGTGCATCCTAAAACCTGAGAATCCCTAAATGACTAGAAATAATTGGTCCCTCCTACAGCAACTGGTTGCTAGGCCCACTAGTTTGCAGTGGTTTGGTGATTAGATCTATAAAGATTAATTTTCCATATGATACTTCTGAAACTACTTGTAATACACAGCTATTCTTTGTTGCAGAGCTTCAGGGCAGTTTTAACCTGTGTTCTACAAAAGAAACTTATTCAAGGCAATGATCCTGCACATGCGGATATAATCTAATCTTGTATGGCTGTCAGTCTGATGCAGCTGGAAATTAGGGGGAGGATGATCCTTAGGTCGTCTGCTTTTTGCTTCAGAGGCAGGTCTGCTGAGGGCTTCGTCAAAGTAAGCAAAAAGGCAAGGGCATGCTAAAATCTTTTCACAGGGTTATGAAGATATATGTAGGTATTAAAGACCTCTGGTTGACATATAGGGTTGACGTAACTGAGACAACAGGAGAGATCTTGACACCTCAGCTCTCTTGTCCTCCCTTCCTTGTGGAAAGTCATCTCTGCCTGAAGAGTGCTTCTGGTGTTTCCGAGATATCAACAGCCACGGTTTTAATAGGCTATGCTTTAATGTGATCCAGAAATCAGCATTGCTTTTCCCTGTTGCATCAGGCTGTACTATCTTAAGATGTTCAGTGGCTGCTGCACAAGGAGGTGAGCCTGTGTGGAGAGCAAACACATATGCCTAAGAGAAACCAGTGCAGGTACAAATACAGTCCAAGGATAACTGAATGGATTATGAGGGAAAAACACATTAAATTAAAAATCATACCAAGAATGACTCTGAGACCCAGCATGGCAATGAAGTGACAGTAATGTAATGACCATGGAGGAAGAATGCAGATTTTTCAAATTTGCAGAAGGATGAGCTCAGAGACATTGTCTTTTTTTTTTTAAAAAGCTCCTCCTCTTGCCCTGGTACAATTGTTTCCATCAAGTCCTCTCTTACTATTTATCTGTTCCATCACATACATTATCCTCATGTTTACAAAATACACAAAACCAAAAAAGGCAGTACTGATGTCCTACTTATTGGAAATGGTTTGTCTGTTGAATATTGTGCTAACTTCCCAGTGTTGCCTGATCACTAGAAATTTACTTAGTTACTGTACATTCTGTTTAAATAGTTGAGATTTACATCTATACTTTTGTATTATTTGTATGTTACATTAAAACAAACTTATATTCACCCTATTCTGTTCACTAGAGTAAATACGCATAGTGTATATTTCCTTGATTAAATTCAGAGTAAGTATGTCAACATTCTAGCAGATCAGCACTGTGCGTCCTCTGACTTGTCTTCTGTACCAAAAAAAGTGCTGAAACGCTGAAACTGATAGGGTGGGCTGGACAGGGCAAGACTGAGTTGAATGTCAGTGAGAAACTACCTTAATCCTCATGCAAACACCGGAGTTGTGATAAAGCTCCTTCCCCATCCTGCCAGGTCCATAGCAATAGTTTGCAGAGGCAGTGTCAGTGTCCAGTCCTCTCTGAACAAGTTCCTTTAGAGACTCCACACATGGAAGATTTTGTGTTTGATACAAAATTTACTTAGGTGAAGTTTTCTGAAATTGCTGTCAGGGAATGTGGAGGACCAGATGCTCCGAAAGGGATGGGAGCTGGGACCCATGGATAATAACCTGACTGGCAGGCCAGGGCCCTCACCAGCCAGGGCTCATAGTGATGAGGCAGGTCCACAGGTGGGATCGGGCCCCATGAAGGTAACCGCAGTCAGACAGGGATTAAATGGGGCCGGGTGGGGATAGGCCAAGGCCAGGTCAGGATGTCAGCCCATGACATGATTCAGCTGTGTACTTAAATGCCAATACAAGTGAAAATGACAGCAGAGGAGAGCAACTGAAATACAGATCACTTTCCAAATGTGTTTCTCCTTGTTGTCGCTGTAATATGCTTACTGTCATGACACTGGGCATTCCAGCTGCTGAGAAGTCGTATGTGGGTGGAAACCAGTTCAAGCCTGTTGCTCTTCTCCAGGTTCTTCTTGTTTATTGTTTAGTATTCATGGGCCACATGCACGCACAAACCCTCAGAGCTGGTCTGGCTAACTCAGGAAGCATTTGCATTTTTTTTATTAACTTGGGGACAAACAATTACACAGATGGTTGGTTGGCTCAACTAATGCAACCATTTATCTAGAACAGAGGTCACCCTTTGGTCCTCTTTGTGCTAAGTTCACCTTTCTCTGCACTATCTGTGATCAGTTGCTCCATATACTCTTCCCTGACTTCTCTTGGTGGTACAGAGTTCTTGCTGAAGCTGCATTCCCATAGAGCTGGATAGGAAGCTGATTTTCTCTTCTACAAAATAAAAGTATCTCTGTTTACAGAAAATGGTATGTTTTTATTTGTGAAGCAGAATATTCATCCATCATTCTGCAGGTGTATGTTTCTCCTCTTACCTCCTACCCTTATTTAAAAAAAGGAAAAATGTGATATTTACGTACAAACTGGATGAGCACCAGTCCAATGCTGTTGGATGCTGGTGTGCCTTCTGTCTTAAGCTGTTCTGTAGGGGTAGAGCAGCTTTTCTAGAAACTAACTTCTCAGCAGTGATACCAATTAATTTTGTTGGATTACATTTGCTATTACTTGGTTCCTATACTTGTCGAAGTAGTACCTAATAGCGTGCTGCATGGTGAATCACCTTTAACAAAGAGCATTGCTCATTACCAATTTAAGGGAAAGGGAGCAACAGCTATAAGCTTATAAAAATGTACTGTGACTAGGCACCAATATAGCTTTTAATGGGTTATTTTAATACCAAGGATGTCTGGAAGAGGTGACTTTTCTGTCTGATTGGGAGACAAAACATCTGTTTTTAACTCCTGATTTTGAGTGAATTTGCTGGTGAGGAAGTCACCTAACAGGTGTCTTTATAACTTGTTTCATGCAAGGAGCTTGGAAACTTAATTGTTATTGTTATTATGTAACTTTAAATGCATATTATCACTTTGCCATAATCCAGAGATCAAACTTGGAAGTTAAATTGATGGGTGATTTGATCACTGGAATTGCAGACTAAGGCGGACTAAAAATACATTATGAATCCTTAGCAGTGCTGTTAATTAAACATTGCAACAAATTACCTTGAGTTGTGGGCCTCTCCCACTGCTTAAAGCTTCCTGTCTTTCAAAGAGGTATGATTCAGAAATTGTTTGTTGAGACTAGGCCATACTGCTGCTTTCTTCTCAGGACTACTCTTCTGTCACATACCCCAAGCTCTGAGAATAGATGTTGCTGCAACTTACCAGGTGAAACTGGCACAAGATGGAATTATCCCTTTAGGAAGTGCTCTTGGGCAGCATCCAAAAGAGGAGATTTAGAGTTCAATTTTCAGTTCTTTGCTTAGATCCCTTAATACATAAAACAGAAACTGAGTTTCACTTTTAGATAACGTATTTGATGTGCGATCTACAAGTAGAGAATATGCCAAGACTCCTGTCTCTTTGTTCTTTTTGAATGCTGCCGTGGTGATGGCTGGTGCAGGCAGAACAACAATTGGGAGAGCTGATAAAGAAAACTAGTGTTCCAAATAAGAACTTACACTTGATATTATCATACAGATTTCCAATAGTGTTATTAAACAATAATATTAAAAATTTTAGTAAACAACACTAGGTCATGCATGGTTGAGCTGTTTTACAGGGAACAACTCAGCTTTAATTGCATCTATTGTTTTTAAAGGCAGCAATGGAGATGCCAGTTCATCATCGATTGTTTGTGACAAGAATTTTGCAAGAATTTGAAAGTGACACGTTTTTTCCAGAAATCAACTACAAAGACTACAGACTTCTCACAGAGTAAGTGTCAAGATTCATGTGTTCAGATGGAAGACTTAATAATCTACTTTGAATGTGTAAGTCTCCTATTAAGGCCATGTTCTGCTTTGAGTTAGAGGTGCTTTTCCCTGTATTTTTTCCCTAGAGTTACATTTTACTTAGAACCTGGAATTGCACCACACTTAGCACAGAGAGGTTGTTGGAACTTGCTCTGTTCTTCAACCTTCCCGTAATCTTTACAGTAAAGAAATGCATTTGTGAGTTTGCTTGAAAAGTAACTTTCTCCTTGTTTCTCATTTTAGAATTACTTAAATATTTACTAAGGTTCTTAACTCTCAGTATTTTGTTAGTCAATGGTATTTAGCCTCTGAATGGCCTTGATAAATTGCCAAAGACCAATTAAATGGGTTTGAGCAGGAAGGGTTGAGTCCTTATAGATTTCTAAGATTATTCCTTCCTCTTGAGAAAATTACTTCTTCCTAACAAACTTAGTAGGAATAAGTATTGAACTGTAAGTTTCTGCCATTCACTGTGGCTTCTTCTATGTTACCCTTGTCATATTCCAGTCATACTTTATGTCCTGTCCAACGAGACTACATCCAATAGGCGGTAGGGAGGTGGCAAAAATTCAAACATCTGCCTCAAGAACCAACAAGGAAAGGACCTCTTCCTCTTCTTGCTACTCTCATTGTGGTTCCCAGCTGGTTACAGACCAGCAGTGGAAGGAATAGAAAGAAAAGGAATAGAAATATGACAAATCAAGCTCTCTGCATGGGGACAGCAGTGGAGTAGCACTGAAGTGGGGGAGAATAGGTAGGAGCAGGAGAGAAGGATGCAGGAGAGACAAACAAGGTGAGTGGGGAGGATGAGTCACCTTTTTCAGCTCTAACATGTTCTGTTAGAGCTGTGCTGTGCCATATCGTGAGCCCACTCTAGTACCCTGATGTCTGACCCAAAGCTCCCTTCTTTCCCTCTTGGCTGTTTTCCAGGTATACTTTGGGTTTGGCCAGTGTACTGAAATCAGAATTTGGCCTTAAACGACTGATTTATAAAATAGCAGATAATTCCTTCGCTGAAGTGGAAACCTGATAGAGTCAAAACTAGTAAATAAAATTTAAAATTTCTTTCTCCCTCAAAGTCAACATTACTCATACAGAGTCCTTATCCTGTCAGAGGAAGGTGAAGAGATTTTTGAGAGTGTCTGTTAATAAAAACTATTCTAGTAAATCCGGAAGATAGAGGAACACTTTGCATGGTAGCAGTCAGCTACTTCAAGCAGCTGTCGTAGACTTGTAAGAAACCTTTACCTTAGCATTTCCTCTAAACCATCTGAGGAAAAACAAAGCAAAAAAAACCCAAAGGTGTTCTGTATCTCTTCTACCTTTACAGAGATTTTAAATAATATGTTGGAGGCTTTAATAAAAATGTTGGGGTTTTTTGATTAAGTAAAAAAGGGGGCGTTTGGGTTTTTTTTTTTAGTGTCAGAGTATGCTTTCTTGGTTTAAAAAGATGTGTGTACAAGTTGCTGATGGAAGTTAACATGATTCCTAAAAACAGTTTGTACTTAGTATACCTGTTGTAAGGGTGGTGTTTGCATCTCCTTTTTCAAACCAGTCTCTTTTCTAATTGATAGCATAAATTGAAGGTGGCTCATATTTTTTATTTGTGATATTTTTATCTACTACTTGGCTTTTGCTTTTTTCTTTTTCTCTTTCTCCAGGTACCCAGGTGTCCCTGCTGATATCCAAGAAGAGAATGGCATCCAGTACAAATTTGAAGTGTATGAAAAAGCTGTCTTGGCACAATAAATGAGGCTTTCCGTACTTCTGTGTAAGAGCAGGCATTTTAAATCGTGAAGTCTTATTGAGTGCAAATATGTATTAAATTATTGAGAGGAAATACTGCTCAATAGTGCAATACCATGGTCATGAATGATTCCAAAACACACACCCCACATTCTGAATATACACCCTGCAGTGGAAGTATAAGAGTGGTCAGCAGCATGAAAGAGGTAGCTCTAAGGAATACTGCAACTAAGGTTGCATGAGACCTTGTGTTGATCTTCACAATCCGTGGCAGCATCCCTAACAATTCCATGAGTAATGAAAGGCATTCGACTGTGTCAGAACCTTTCTACCTAAACAAAGGGGTTGAGTATCTCCTGATTCAAAACGTCCTACACAGAAAGCATCAAAACTCCTGCATTTGGCTGAGATAGCGTGTACATTTGTAACAGTCTTTAAAACTTACTGGTGTAGAGGACAAGGTAAGCAAGCATAACAAAAAAAACGGAGTCTGGAAGTCTCAGGCAGCAGTTGGGAGTTACAGTGATCTTTCGTGGAAGTCCTCTCTTGTCATCTTGACCATCCTGGATACACAGCCTACTTCAGGCCTTTTGGCTGAAAACATGAACATACAAATTAATCTGATAAAGAAGTTTTAACGTTTCCATTAACTTCACACCTGTGTAAAGGCTTGCTGCTCTTATGAAAAGTTGCTATGTCAGTTGGACCATGGACATTTTGCAGTACAAGAACATAAACATTGCTTTCTTAACAGAATCTGTGTGCTTCTAGGCCTTCTAAATGTAATCAGTGCAGATGCAGAGTTAATTTGTCAGTGTCATTTTGGATATTCTGTGACACGTACAAATATGCACTATAAGCAGATCGTGCAGTCCTGTTTACTCTTTCATTAAACATAGCTAGTATAATAATGTTTTGCATTGCCATTCCCTGAAAGTAGTGAGTGAGATACTGGCACTGTAGTAACACTGTGATTCTGATGGCGTACAGCACCAAATATTGACCAAAGTTTATTATTGACGATATTATCATAACATGATTAGTGTTAGTCTGTTGCTACATTTGACTGTGGAGAGTTTGTTGGATGGTAGAGGACTCCGTATACAAAGTGTCATGGAGAGGAGCTGGAACTTACCAGTGCCCACCTATGTTTCCTTGTGCCGCAGCTGCCACCCTGAGAGTGAGGGCCTGCAGGGAGGGAGCCTGGCTTTCCTTTCATTGCAGATCAGTCTGAGACCAGTGAGAAAAAAAAAGTTAACCCTCAACACTCTGCTGACTGTTTCTCCAAAGCATTTTAAAAGCATTGTCTTATGAAGCAGTGTTGTGGGAGATTCAAGTCAAAATGCTTGTATTTTAATGTCACGCTGAGGCCCAGTTCTAACATCAGGGAGGGCAGCACTGGCCATTGGCAGGCTTTACTCAGGTACAGGGCAGTGTAAGAGTGCCCAGTTTTCCAAGAGAAGATTAAATCTGATTTTACTTGCTTTTGAAAAGCCACACCTCTTTAATAAGAGAAAAACACTTAGAATATCAGCTGTGAATACCTCTTGAATCTTCCATGGCAATTTACAACATTTAACTGATAAGAAAGATAATTTTTGCAGCGTTTGTTCTGGGTTGTCTCAGTTTTCTCTGTGTTCCTTTTACATTCTTAAAAATGTAAGTACTTTCCTGTGTTGATCTTCTTGCACCACATGTGCTGACCTTACATTAGTCGATAAAGATTAAAACAACAAAGTTACATGCTTGCGTAATGCAGCAATAAGTCTCCTGAGATTTAATTTGCCAGCACATTGTGAAAGGGAAGGAAAAAGACACCAGGGGGTGTTACTTTTTTTGAAAATGTAAGTCACAGTGACCCTGACAAGGGAAAATAACCTCCCAAAAGAGTTTAATGTGCACTGGTTAGTATAAAAACCCAGGTCACTGTTGAAAGCTCTGCACAGCTAGTCTGCAAAGAGCTGTGTTTATGGCAACCGTCATCTCTTAAAAGTGGTAGCAAAGACTTCATGCGATGTTGGATTACACTGTGGTACTGATGCGAATATTGCAAAAATTTCTGCCTAAGCATACGTTGCAGGAGATATGGTTCACTGAGGCCAAAATATTTTGTAAAACCACTTTGGTTGCAAAGAACTTGGATGCAAACAAGTCTACTGGGAAAATAAATACTTACGCTAACTCCTTGCAGACTGACTTAGTCCTCTCCAGATTTAACTATGTTCATTTGTCAAATTCTACAACAAATTAAGTCAATTTATGATTCGTGGAAATGAGAACTTCTGAAATAATGCAGCAGTTTCCTACTTAAGACTTTTCAGAAGATAGTAATGATCCAGTTTCTTCAGTATGCCGCTGCCAAAAAGATGCATTTTGGTTTGTTTTGGGTTTTGCCTTAATAAAAGCACTGCATTTGGACAGCACGTTTTGCATCAGAGCTTTTCAATATGCCATACAGTTTCCAGTCAAGAATTGTGAAAATGCATTTGATTGCAGTAAGGTTGGGTTCATCCTAATGACAGACATACCAGCCGCTACAAGGTTAGGTGCTTACTGTTTCAAGAAGATGGATAGGCAGAAGGGCATAAGTCCATGTGCTCAGGGAGCACATGCAAAGGCTGTTCGCTGACAGGTGTGTTATTTCCAGAGGATGGATACTTTGCACATTTTTTTTTAAATCTGTGCCCTTTGAAAGATGCCTCAGATTGTTCATCCAAAAGCTGAGACAAGAAAAATGGTTGCTGTCTTCTAAAGGCCAGTTACTAGCTCAAATTTGTATAGGGCCTTTTTCAAAAGCGATGCTTCGCTGGGTGACAGATTGGTTGAAAAAGCAACAGACACAAAATAAGTGTTTGCTCTTCACCTAAATTGGGCATTGCACTTGTTACCTCCATGGTTTATATTGCCCAAGGGAAATAAAAATATTTTATTCTGTGGCTTGAAGAAAAAAGTCCTTTGTTCCAAATACAACTTTCCCATGTTTTGTTTACTCCCGTACCTCACTGATGTGTCATTCCATGAAAAGCCATAGATTCTTATTATGTCTAGTGCAGGGGAAATGTCATGTTTTTCCCCAGTTCCACACAGCTAAATGCAATGAATAGCATCATGAGTGACAATGTAATTGCCAATCACTAAGAAAAATGTAGTAGAGATATAATTTAATCCCCCTCATTCATGCTTTCCCAAGAACAAAGTGTTCTAAACAGATTAAGAATTTAATTTTTAAGGATAATACTAGTTTTAACAAAATAGCTAAAACTAGAGGGTCTGCATAAGAGATGAAAAACAAACCATTAATGTTTCTGTTGCTTGTCTATTACTCATTATCTTTCTCATCTGGCAGTGGACAGCAATTTCCATTTGGCAGTAGAAAGCTGAGGTTTTCAGAAGCTCACCACTAGTGTTATGTCTGCAGTGTATTCAAGGACAGAATTAGGAACATTGCAACAACAACTCTGTCATGGAGAGCAATCCATGGAAAAGAAAGGTACACTCCACATAATACGAGTTTCCTAATTCAGCAAACAGACTATTACTAGTGTATATACAGAACACCAGGGGAAAAACAGGAAGGGGAAAATGACAGTAATTAGATTATGCATGTTATCTAAGGAGAGCATCAGGAGTGCTTGACATGAGACCGTAATTGGGATCAGACAACCATGTTGTCTTCATCAGACTACAGCTAATTTGTCAAAGGCTTAAACCTAAACACAAACTAATTTGGAGTAGTTTAAAAGCTATGCTAACAGAAGAGGAAGATATGAGCAGGCAGCAGCTGATTTGGAGAGGGGAGAGGCTGTGGGAAGGGTTGTTTGTCAATCAGTGCAGAAAATGAGGTGACTAGAGGTGACAAAGCTTCGTTAAGTGTGAAATTAGGAAATACTTTCCTCTTTATGCGGTTGTCCATTAACTGTTTCTGCTTGCCCAGGAGGGCTGTAGGAATGAAGCCTACCAAGTCAGAGCAGGCTGACCAAGAAACCACAAAAATCTTCTGAAGAGACAGGTTCTGGAACAAAAGAGCGGAAATGGGGAAAGGGGGGTAAGAAGGTGTTTCCTAGAAGGATTAGTTTCCTAGAAGTGTGAGTTTGTCCTGTAACTATAATTATTAAGGAAACACTTTCAAACTGCTGCAGGATTTAGCACTTCTGTGACAAAGAATTTCATTAGTGAAGGATTTTCAGGATTTGGATGCCTGTGTGACTGCCTTTGTCACCTATGCAGAAATCCTCAGCTACAATTGCTATCCTGAAGTGCCTGCACTACATCTGAAAGCAGGACTCCCATCCTGGAGCATCCAGTAGCCCAAGGGTTATTAGCATTGTGTCTAGCTGGTGATCTCCTGCTTCCCTGGGTGGAGAGCATACGCTTCTGGGACTGCATATGGGAAACGTAATGATTTTTCTTGGTCTTCAGTTATAAAGACTTGCTTTCTGCTGGCTCTGGGGTGATCATGGGTTATAGTCATCTCCATCTTCTGTCTGTAGGTTATTCTGTCTCCTTTCACATAACATAAAAGCAGAATTTGTACAAGGAGTCTTTTATTAGGTTAATTGACATGGTCGAAAAAAGAACAGACAAGCTCTTGAGCAGAGTCCTTTCCCGGTTACATTCTCTAGACTTTCTTCAAGTGGCTTGAACGAGGGCTTACATGTCCAAACTTTCCTGATTTGTCTCCAATTAAGTTGCAGGGTTTAATAAAGCAAATTATCTCACCATGTAAATCTTGTTTTGCTCCTATCTTTTTTGCTCCTATCTTTGTAATGGTCCTGATTACAGCATTTGTGTGTCACCTTCAGTCCTCAGGCTATGGTCCTCTCAACTCTGTCCCTTGTCCCTTCAGCTGTCCTGTTGGATTGGAAATCTACAGAAGTTCGGAGAATTGTTCTGATCAAGCAACATGGGTATTTCAAACAGAGTGCTCTTAAGTATGTGCTTATAACTGTTGAAATGGTAGTGAGTGTTTTTCATGTATTTGCCTGATTAAGGAAGGCTTTAGGTATGAAAGTAAATATTTTGC